CCAAATTCTTTTAACAAGGATGACAAAATCCATAGTGCTTCCACGCCTGCTTTCACAGGCCAGATAGAGGACCTACCTAGGTGAGTACCGCTAGGGAGTCTGGCGGAGCAGACACAGAAATGTGTCCCACCTGAAGTGATACTAAATCAACTTTGTACGTACATTATCAAAACAAAACACATCTCCTACCGAGATGGAATACACTGCAATAAATGGTTAAGTACATTAGATAAACTTTAAAATGGGGTTGGGGATGGCAATGACATGAAATGCTGGACCTCACCCACGTTTGGTGGCCCCTCTGGATGACTATCTTGTCATACAAGTTTTATAATACAAAAAAGGTTGTGCTTTCTTCAACCCAGAAATTCCACTCTTAGCAAGCTACCCTAGAGTCACCAGTACGCAACAACTGTATATATAATGCACATGTACTAGATATATAAATGTGTGTGTGTATAAATGACCTAAACATCCAGTTTACAGGAACACTATTTAATTATGGTGCACCTATTTAATAAAATACTAAGGAACTACTAAGAAAAAGCTACCCATGAATACTAATTCATACTTGAGCTAAGATAGTAGCACATGCCTAGTTCCCATGTGTTATTTCTAGTCACGCCTGCAAGCATGATTCCAAGCCACAGAAGAGATGAGTGGGCTGGAGTCAGCAGTGTGGATTTTCTGAAAACTGCTCACAACAGGGCAGTCTGCAGCCTGTGTGTCCAGCAGAAACAAACACCAGCATTCCAGCACACTGAAGGAGTCACAGAATTAATAAAGTGGACATCTAGCCTACATTCAGGAGTGTCTACAACAGAACATTTACTACAAATCCTCTGAATTACAGTTGACCCCTGAACAACATGGGTTTGGACTGCACAGACCACTTATATCCTGAATCCTCATTCAATGATTTAACCAACCATGAATGGTAGCTGAACCTCTGGATGCAGAACCCATGGATATGGAGAGCCAACTACAAGTTATGTATGTCTCGTCAAAAGCATGAGGGCATGCCCCAATCCCTCAATTTGTTCAAGGATAAACTACACAAATAATAATTCATCCAGCAAAGAGCTGGCAGAGGTGATGATGTTTATGGCACAGACTGGTCACTGCTACCTAGAACATCTAGGTAATTTTCCCAAGAGTGAAAATATCTGTTCTCTTACAACTGTACTGTCCTGAATTTAGCTCTTCCAAAAACATTTTGCAAGGCTTTGATCTCAAGGAAATATAAGAATATCTCATCAATTTATCAAGTTTGCTAGAGATATTCTCTGAACTTCTGTGCTGCCATACAAGCTTTATACATACATTTTTTGACTGATGAAAACAAAAGCAGAAACCACAAGAATAAAGTGGTTAGTACTGCAGAATTTCACCTACACGGTAAGGGACAGAAATGTAACTGCAGCCAGGATATCTTTGGAAGTGATGACAACTCTAGAGGGAAAACATCTGGAATAATGCCAAAACTGTTAATGTTATCACAACTGCATACTTCTAAGGTCACCAAAATATTAGTTACTGCCATCACATTCCTCCTAGGAAAGATAAAGGAAAACAGGACAGCAACTCCTAATGCTAATGCAGTGGGTCACAGGGAAGACAGGTTCCAAAAACAAGGTTAACATGCTCAAGAAACAAGACAAAAGCAGGTGTTTAACTTTTCAGCTATCCATTTGATTCATGATCCCAAGATTTTGCAGAAAAGTTTACAAAGTGGCTAGAGAGCTCTAAGGAAAGGTTTGACATGAAGATGACTGGTGTGGGTTCATGGGCTTTTCTAACTTCTACCCCTTTGTGCAAAGTCCTCTGCCACAGCACCAGATGTAACAAAGATCCTTCTGTTTGCTGCACAGGCATTTCATCACCTAGCAGTCCTAGAGATCATTCACATTGCTCATGACTCCAGGAAAGCCATATCAGGAAGACTCAACTATGATAGCAGCTCAGTGTCCTCTAGCCTTGACCGGCAAACACCCTGAAACACAAAAATAAGGATGTGTCAGCCAGAAATTTGATTCAGTTCTTCTGAATACTGAATCCTACATGTTACAGAGGGAACTCCAGGGTAAAACTACAGGGTCCCAGTTAAAATCAAGTGCAGAATATGGAGAGCTCTTACATCCAGTGGAAAAACCTAGTGTCCTTTCAGATAAAAGTCGCTGGCACTAAGCGATACGCTTCTGAAAAAAGAATGAAGAAACTATTAGGCAAGTTTTTCATTCCATAGAGAATGTTAAATGTGTGTCATTGATGTAAAAAGTATTGAATCAAGAATGTTTATTTGCATAAAAGTCTAGCAACACTGTATTTTTAAAACTACACAAAAAAATACTGAATGACTGGTTTTGATGCCTTTTTCCCAAAACTCTACCCAAAAAAATGAATCCTAATATAAACTGAGACTTTAATTAGTAACAGTGTACCAATATCATTCTCTCAGTCTAGTAACACATTAAAGCAAGCCATTGTCAACACAGGAAGGGAAAAACTGATCTGGAAATCTTCTGTACTCTCTGCACAAATTCTGTAAGTCTAAATGTATATTAATTTTTGTTAAAAAAAATTTTTTTAATTGCATATTCATAGAGCTGGAGAGTTCTGCATCAAATTGTTAAAGTGGTCTCCATAGAGTAAGACTGGAAAGCACAGCAAAAGTAGTAATTTTTACATTAAATACCTCTGGCCAGTTTATACCTTCCACCCCAGCAGTATACTATAAGGAGAGGCTCTTGTAGCATACTTAGGGCCTGGGTCCTAAAACCAGACTGCATGGATTTAAATATCAATTCTCCCATCTACTAGATGACAAAGTTGGGTGACTTTTCTGTGCCTGTTTCCTCATCTTTAAAAAAGGAAAATAGTATGTGTACCGAAAGAGCTGCTACGGGTATTAAATATCTTAATATGCAAAGTATGAGAACAATCTAGTATACAGTGATCAATAAATGGTATTGAACATCCGCACCACCACCATCACCATCTTCAAGCATCTACTATTCCCAATTTTTTTTTTCTATTTTGATTGGTAAGACAAATCAGGAAAATGCAGTTCATCTAGTCTCTTTCCAGTGAGATACTTAATGCAGAAAACACAAGTGCACTCAAGTATCAAATAAAAGCAATCTGGGTTTTTTTTTTTTTTTAACGTATATTACAAACTAACACTTAGCAATATGACCCCATTTGTTTAAAAAATAAGAGGCAACCAACTTTTTCTGCAAGGGGTCAAACAGTAAATAACGGTACTTTAGGCTTCGTTGCCAAGTGGGTCTTGGTGACAACTGCTGAGCTCAAGCATTTGTACCACAAAAGCAACCTCAGGTAATACAGATGAATGTACACAGCTACATCTCCCCCAAAACATAATTTACAAAAACAGGCAGCTGGCAGGAGTTGGCTCACTGCTGTAAAGTTTGCCACCCCTGAATTAAGAACAAAACAAGATCAATTTCATCTTGGAAAACAAAATATTTCATACTGGACAAAGTGCAATAAATTGATACTACTGATATAAAAACTTTTATTTCTTAATTCACAAAGGCCTAAGGATAGAAAAACTCAAGCTCTTTATAGGACCTAGAATCCTACTCTCACACCTAGTGCCTCAGAGAGAACATTTGCTACTAAGTAGACCAAAGTCTAGCTAGGAACACATACTGGTAGGGAAGCAGTTATAAATGGGCGCTGAAATACATATATGCCTTTTGTATTTAAATCATCTTGAACTATTTTCAAATTTCCTAATAATCCACCACCAAGCAGCTGCTGCCATCTGTGTGGACGTCCCTCAGCATTCTTGACAGACTTGGGAGAAAGGATGAAAACATCTTAAGAACGACTAACAGCATCAGAAAGGAAATTTCTGTGAAACAAAAATTAGCGATGAAAATCCCATTTCTATGGAATGAAGTACCTATGAAATTCTAACAGCAAGAGTGAAAGGAGACATAAAGGTGGCCTGGATAAAAGGACGCGTCAAACTTCCACACTGACCAAGTCTATGAACTCCCTCCAAAACATAAAATGTCAAAATCTTTGACATTTACTGGGCAGAGTTTTGTGATCAAATGGTTCTAAATGTAATGAAGATTTCCTGTAGCGTGAAATGGTTTCTTTGGAGTTAGGGAAGAGATAAAATGGAAAAAGAAGAAGAAAAAAAATAAGACTGATGAATCCAAAAGTCTACAAATAAAAATATTAAAAGGAAAATGCACACCTGCAATGAACCCGACATACCAGGAAAGAAAGCCCCAGTTGAAGTACAAACAAAATACAGTTGGGCCATCTCAGGAATCTGTCAGGTTCTATTTTCGTAAGGTCAAAAGCAGGAGGAGGGGAGAAGCACCCACCAGTTTCCAATCTAGCCTCTTCACAGGCCCCTAAAAACTGATTTCCTGCCTTATTACCAGCAGTTTCAAAAGCAGCAAACGCCCATGGACAAAAAGTCAAACGGGGCTTGGGAAAACAGGGTCCCCAGGGTCTGGATCCCGAGTCGGCTGCCTCAAGCGCCACCTAAGAAAGGTGAGGCAACCCCCTGCCCAGGTCCCGTCAGAGGGGGGCTAAGCAGAACCCACAGGAAGCCTGGCACCAAAGAAACCCCTACAAGTGATCAAAGAGACGGCAACGAAGAAACGGAGGACAGAGGCTCTCGGGGGCGGTCAGGAGGGGCAACTGCCCGTGGAGGGGACGGCAGCCCAGGGGCTGGGGCAGGGCGGCGGCCGGGGTCGGCGGGCTCCGGTGACAGCAGCAGCCGAAAGGAGGGCGGATCCAGGCCCCTCACGCTCGGGCCCCCCGGCCTCCGCGCAGCCAGCTGTGCGGGGCAGCGGGTCCAGTCTGAAGGCCAAGCTGCGAGCTGCGGCCAGCGCGCGCTCCTCGGCCGGCGCCCGGGACACTACACTGGCCCCCTCAGCCCTCACCTCTTCCCGATCCCCGGCGCTCCCCCTTCGCCCGAGAAACGGCGCTCACACTCCGGAGACCCTCACCCGGAACTTGTTGCCGCCGCGCCGCACCTCTCCGACTCCGCGGGAAAGCACGGCTGAGGGGAGGGGGAGGAGGGGGAGCGGAGGAGGGAGGGGGCCCAGCCCGGTAGAGCCGCCGCCGCGATGCCCCGTCTGGGATCGTGCTTGCGCCGCCGCGACCGTACCGCCGCGTCTTCCCGCCCCCACTGCCGCACGTCGCCGTGACGTAGATCGCACGAGGAAGTTCGGGCCAATAAGACTACGCCTCTTGCGCAGCCGCGCTGGGCCAAACCGGAAGCTGCCCCTCAGACCGCTGTAAGACTGGATGCATCCTGGGAGTTACGGTTCAGGCGGAACTCGGCGAAAATCTTATGCTGAGCTTCTGGAGGAGAAAAAGCGCGCGGCTGGCGCTCACTTAAATCCACTTGGTTTTTTTCTCACACCGAAAAGTGAAATCGTTTAGATCTGAAGAGGCGGGGGCCTCAGCTTCGTGGAATGCTTTTCCCAGTTTCTATGGATACGGGTTTACACACCTTGGGCGGGAGCCAAAATGTAGGGATTTAGGCTCGACGGGGCGTTCGTGCCTACAGCCTGTGTCCTGCTAGGCGTCGCCTGTGAAGGCTTAGGAAATAAATCCCAAAGCGTTAGTCAGCTCAACCAAAACAATAGTGTTTGCGTTTTATTACCTTGTGGTATTGTGATTTATGCCCAAGTGCGTCCAAAAACAAGACGTGTGAGCCCACTAACTTAAAGTGCGTATAATTTAGAATGACTTTTAAAATGTGTTTAATTTGATGACAGATCAGAAACCGATTCAGCATTGAATACTTGTCTGTTTACCCAGAATGGATGATTTTCTACAACAGAGCTTTAAACAGGCTTGGTTACATACTTTTCATATATATATATATATATATATATATATATGAAATGGAAGGATAGGAGTTCGTCGGCATAAAAATGTTTTCTTCACATTGAGTTCTAGGAGGACTTAGGCGTTGCCACACCTGTCAAAAGTCATGTTGAGTAAAGGTAATTCATAAGCTTACAAGAACTCCTGGTTTGCTACCATTGCCACAAAAGAAAACAAGGTACTAGGAAAAGTTTCATATCTCATATCAATGATTCTGGGATATAATATATGAGGAGAGCCCCCCAAAATTAGAGAATTCTGCCTGGAAGTGTAAATTCTAAGAGGTGATTAAAGTTACTGAAATAATAAAAATTATGCATAAGCTGACAATACTGATATTTTAAAACTAAGGTCATCCCATTAGGCTTATGTCCTATTGATATAAGTAAAATTATTAGTACTAAGTTTACAGGAATTAATTCCTTTCAAGAAGTCGTTTACACTGAAAGTATAAATTACCCTTTTTTAAGTTTACATGAATTGTGAAAGACATAGCAATAATGATTTCTGCATTTAAAGGCAAAGATAGTTTTTGAGATTGAAATCAAGGAAGACAACCATATACTTCTTCAGCTCATCAGAAGCCGAATTCAGGTATCTTTGAAGAGCAAATATACCAACTCACATAGAACAAAAAAAAACAAGAAGAATCAGCGCTTCAGGCTTAATAAGGGACCTACTAAAAACAATTTTAAAAAGACTCTTCATAGATCTCAAATCTCTTCTGCATCCTCTCAATGATTTGGCTTTGACAAAGTGCATTACTCTAAGAAAGTTCCTATGGTAGATGCAGTGAGAAGCCTTCTCATTTTCCCACCAAGATTTAACCTTTCATTCTTTGTCACCTTCATCCCATTCCCAGGTCACTTCTTGCCAATTCCTCATTCTCACAATGATGAAATAAACCACATAATTTACTCAAAGTGCTCAAACACCATCTCAGCTAATGAAGATATTGGCACCATCCCTGACCTGAGGACATTCTAGCTGACTTCACCTATATCCCTTACCTAAAAGTCACCAGTAAATGTTCCCAAGCAAACGTTCAGATCCCTCTCCCCAACTTATTCAGTTACTGCTTCCCATGTATTGCCTTCTGATTAGCTTTCTGAAAACCAAGGGTGGTTCAGTAAATTCTGTACCCTCCACCATCAGCTGCGGATCTTCAGAACCTCTGTTCTCTCCATTCTGAGGGTGTCCTATTTCTCCACAGTAGAGTGGAGTCCTTCATCTTCTGTAGCACCGAGAAGAGTCCCTTCTGCCCCTAGTTACCAGTGACCCAACAGTGCCCTGTGGCACTGATGTAGTCATCTCTACAATTACCAGATGTTGTTCACAAAGAGAACACATCACTGAGTGAGTAACATTCATAATCCTCTTGTGCCCAGCCCAGAATGACACTACAATATGTTGCTAAAATACAATGATATTGGACTTGCTCTCAGGGAGAGACTTAGCCTCCATTGTGATATGCAAAGCAATAGCCAATAAGATTTGAAGATGTTTCTAAAGTCACAACAAATGATGGTCCAGCTTTCAAATTCTAGAGGATTTCAAAAAAATCCCCAGTGGGGCAGGGATTAAAGTCTCAGTGCTATCAAGCTATCACCAGGCACTGTGAAATTGACCCCCAGCCAGGAAGCTGACCCACATGACACAAAAGACCTCGCCTGTCTTGCCACATGCTCCCCACAGCAATGTATTTCAGTAGATCTACCTGTTCTGCTCCCCACTCTGTCTCTGGGGAATCCTCTCACCCACTCCATACTTCTGGTCTATACCTCAGTTCTTATATGCATACATAAATAAAAATCATTTTATTTTCTTAAAAATTAAATGGACATAGTTCAGATTAACAGAAGAAAATCACACAAAACTATTTTGTGTTTTTGTTACAGGACACTCCAATGTGAATTGGGTTGCCTATCTGTGGGTCTTCACCGCGCTTATGATTCAATCGTATTATGGACACACTCAAAAAGGTTAAATAATGGATTTATTTATAAGAAGAAAGGTAAACCCAGGGAAAGAGGGAGAGAAATACAAGTTAACTAGACTGTCCTACCAGTTCTGCTGACTTGGACTCCACCAACACGCTGAAAACCTATCGAGAGCCAAAACGATCAGCTGCGAACCACCAGGCCCAAGAGATCCCCAGAGCCCTCATGTTTGGTTTTATCCCATCCCGGCTGCTCAGCTCCGCCCTTACATCCCAGCATGCTTCTCCTTGGTATTGATGGGATTAGTAGTTCCAGTATCTGGAGTGGGGGCGGAGTCCATGAAACCTGTACCTGTCACATTTTTACTTGTACATAGGAGTCTTCAGAAGGAAAATGAACCCCAAATAAGCCAATTCTAAGTCTAGTAATCCAGAAGTTTATGAAAAGACATCAAAGGGAGACTGAGGCTGGAAAGCTAAGACACCAGATTTCACTGATTGGCTCCCTGAAAGTTTATGTCCTCAATTTACATAGGCAAGTTACACACACAAAAAGAATCCACTTTTTTTTTTAACTTTTTAAAATCCTTTTAAATCCACTTTTTTAATCCTCTTGACAAAGGAAAGAAAACATCAAATTAATTCTAACATTTTCAGTGAGGTAAAGGAGGTTGGAGTCTAACAAATTTAATCATTAAAGGAAAAACACTTCCTAACTTCAAAGCCCGTCATTGATCTACAGAGCTAATTCAATCAGAGGTATCTGTGTTTGGGAAGATGTAGAGACTAAAGGTTCTTTGAATCTCTTATCCTCAAAATACCCTGAGAGAGCATGTTACCTCATGCTCCCTTTCCCTACAACTTAGAGACATGAATGGTCATTTTTTTTTTTGCTTCTCACTACAGGATTCTTCACAGCAAACAAGCTAACTCCACCCTCTTGAGGTGACCCAGCCGGCAGAGTAGAACATTTTCAACAGTGCAAAAATGTAGAATTTCATTTTCTTGCTCAGCAATAGGTTGTTTTGTGCAGGTCTGTTTTGATGTCCACTCTGGTGATAAGAATAACCTTCTGTGTGATGGATGATCCTATATACACATGTCAAACTGCTATGTTGTACCCTTAACTTACACAAAGTTAAATTCAATTCTATGTCAATAAAAATGAGATGAAAAATGTTTTTTTCCTGATATGAGCAGGGTGTCTTTTACATGGGGAATTTTACAACCTACTTTTAGGTAGAATGGGAGAGGGCGGTGAGTCCTTCCTGCATCTGCAGTTTTTCAAATTACTTCTTGTCTTCACCAACTCAAAATAATCCATATGTCAAAGGGGCCTACTTGGGGGTAAGATGCTCTGAACCCCTCCAGTGTAAAATAGTTCAATGTAGTCAGCTAGTTGTACTTTAAAGCACTGAGTGAGATTCAATGGTGTTAGCTGCTTTGAAAATGATCTAGTAATCTCTCTGTCAAAATTAGAAGGAAATACAGAAATATCTATATTCTGGCTAGTTACAATTAAACTGATATCAAATAAATACATTGATTTTTTAAAATCACATTAATCATGGATTTGAACGTTTCCACAAGTCCACCGTAAGCAAAAAAAAAAAAAAATGCTAAATTTGTGCTACACCTTAGTCATGTTTAAAACTGAGGACAAGAGCAGAATAAACATTCTCATAATTACCTAAAATGCATTAGCAATTCCTCAAACACAGATTAGGTAACATAGCCCCAGGGAATAAGCATAAGCCTGAGAACATCATAACCAGCTAAGCTGCTCACTGACTCACTGTTTCTCTGTCCTGTGGCCTGGGCATTACTTCTTGTCTTCACTAATAAAACTAACATGTTTGCCAATACATTTTTTAAATGGGAACACATGAAACATACAATGTGTTATTAATGTGTTTGTGACAGGAAAGGGTCGATGGGAAAGGGTAGAAAATAGATCTGGGGGACCTCCCTGGTGTCCCAAAGGGTTAAAGCACAGCACTCTGAAGCTAGACACCTCTGCTTGGCCACAAGTGGATCCCCAGCCAGGGAGATGACCCACATGGCGTGGCAGACCTCTCCTGTGCCACCTGCTGCTCCCCTCAGCAGTGTATTTCAGTCAATCTTCCTGTTCTGCTCCCCACTCTGTCTCTGATGAATCCTCTCACCACCCCTGCACCTCTACCCTGTACTCACTCCAGTTCTGTATGCATAATTAAATAAATCTTAAAAAAAAAAAACTACAATGAGTTTGCAAGTGAAAGATCTCTTGTAGCTAGTACTATTGTTTCCCTTAGGTATATAGCTAGATGTGGGATTGCTGGATCATGTG